CTAAATTAGGAAGGGGGTCATGGAAGCAGGGGTGCAGAGAGGATGTTATTTTGTTAGTGGGAAAGAGCATCAAAAATGTCTTGGACTTCACTATGATGGTAGTAGTCATTAGGATTCAAGATATTAAGAGAGAAAATTAACCTTTGATTTGGTGATAGACTGGATTTGTGATAAGAGAGATTGGCAAATATGACCCGTTTCTGACTAGAGATGAAGTCATGAAATGAGAGGTAAAATTGGAGACCAGGTGCTTTTCTAGTGTTGCTGTTTGGGGTGGGTTTGATGTTGGGGAGAAAAAGCCTGTCTGAGGAGCTATTATACACAATATTTGGGCATCAGTATCTAAAGGAGATATATTTCAAAATATTTAATTTAAATATTAGAGTAATAATGAATAAATATTCGCTATAAAGCTTGAGATTTTTATTACAGAAGATTCACTTTAAAACAGTTTCTCTATAATAAGACAATAGAAGAATTTGTGGGAGAAATTAGTAATGAAAAATAGCTTTGGATATTGTCAGTTGGCAAATAATTTTCACCAAGAAAATAGACTAAACATTAAAAAAAACCCAGGAATCTGAAGAAATGAGCAAACAGAAAAAGAAAAAGCTCAACACTACTAGAGTTTTTATTCAACTCCACATTTTTACAGTATGAGCACTTTGGAAATAAAAGCTCATTTAACAACTAATTCCAATATGACATATTTGAAATAACAACTAACGAGCTTTAATGATTATATTTGTCGATTAAATAATTCTTCAGAATCTTGTCTTTGAGTCTATTCCATGGCATTCCATTTTTAAAGGAGACACAGCCCTTTGATCTTTGGAGAATGCAGTTGGTTACTAGGCGTTTTGAGGGTCAGCCAAACTGATACTTGATTTAAATCAAACCATAATAATAAATAGTATGATATAGATACATATCAGATTGCTTAACAGAATTATTTAAAAATATACACTACTAAAGGTATTCCAAAAATTTAATTCCTAAATCACCCATATTTATTTTCTCTCTAAAAACAAAAAGACTTTTTTTTTTAAAGAGTTTAAGGAGGCCAAAAATACTTTTAACAGGGCTCAGCCCTGTAATGATTCGGAAGTAAGAGATACTGACATAATGAGTAAAAGAACTTGGGTACTTGTGGAAAGTACCATGTGAGGGAACCCGTGGTACGGCTGAGGTTGCAGATTTAGGAGCAGCTAGACAACAGCAGGCCCAGTAAACCATGTCACAGGATTTAACCTAAGGAAAGCACCTAAATGAGAGTGCCCTTCAAAATACTCAACAACTTAGAATATTTGCATCAACCAATCAGAACCAATGCCAGCCTGAGTATCCAATCAGAAATGACTTGCTTATCTATAGCCTGGTGCTGACTCAGTCTCAGTAATGAAGTCCTCCTCAAGAATTTTGAGCAGTATCTCATTTATCATTTAGAAAAGAAAAAACTCACTGCTGCAAATGTGGCAAATGGATTGAAGGGAAATAAGAATGGTGTGTGCCAAAGCTCTGGGCAGCAGTGCGTGGTGACCCCAGCAACTGAAGGAAGCCTAGAGCATTGGACTCCCCAAAAATAAGTCCAAGGGATAGTTATGTGAAACAATGCTGTGTAGGAAGGCAGAGGCACTTTAAGTTGTGATAAAGATTTTCATCTTACTCTGAGAGCACCAGACTTATGTTTTTAAAAATATCACACTTGGGGGCAATTTACAGACTAAATTAGGAAGGGGGTCATGGAAGCAGGGGTGCAGAGAGGATGTTATTTTGTTAGTGGGAAAGAGCATCAAAAATGTCTTGGACTTCACTATGATGGTAGTAGTCATTAGGATTCAAGATATTAAGAGAGAAAATTAACCTTTGATTTGGTGATAGACTGGATTTGTGATAAGAGAGATTGGCAAATATGACCCGTTTCTGACTAGAGATGAAGTCATGAAATGAGAGGTAAAATTGGAGACCAGGTGCTTTTCTAGTGTTGCTGTTTGGGGTGGGTTTGATGTTGGGGAGAAAAAGCCTGTCTGAGGAGCTATTATACACAATATTTGGGCATCAGTATCTAAAGGAGATATATTTCAAAATATTTAATTTAAATATTAGAGTAATAATGAATAAATATTCGCTATAAAGCTTGAGATTTTTATTACAGAAGATTCACTTTAAAACAGTTTCTCTATAATAAGACAATAGAAGAATTTGTGGGAGAAATTAGTAATGAAAAATAGCTTTGGATATTGTCAGTTGGCAAATAATTTTCACCAAGAAAATAGACTAAACATTAAAAAAAACCCAGGAATCTGAAGAAATGAGCAAACAGAACAAGAAAAAGCTCAACACTACTAGAGTTTTTATTCAACTCCACATTTTTACAGTATGAGCACTTTGGAAATAAAAGCTCATTTAACAACTAATTCCAATATGACATATTTGAAATAACAACTAACGAGCTTTAATGATTATATTTGTTGATTAAATAATTCTTCAGAATCTTGTCTTTGAGTCTATTCCATGGCATTCCATTTTTAAAGGAGACACAGCCCTTTGATCTTTGGAGAATGCAGTTGGTTACTAGGCGTTTTGAGGGTCAGCCAAACTGATACTTGATTTAAATCAAACCATAATAATAAATAGTATGATCTAGATACATATCAGATTGCTTAACAGAATTATTTAAAAATATACACTACTAAAGGTATTCCAAAAATTTAATTCCTAAATCACCCATATTTATTTTCTCTCTAAAAACAAAAAGACTTTTTTTTTTAAAGAGTTTAAGGAGGCCAAAAATACTTTTATGGAGTTTGGCTTGAATATAAAAGCAGCAAAATTTTTAATATTAGTATCTTTTTGAAATCAGTGTTACTTTTTAGAGAATGTCCTACTGGCATCTGTATTTCTATGTATTTACTAAAGGATTTATATATTTTTAAGAGATTTACTTATTAAGATGCTTATTAAGAAGTTTTTTCAAAAAACAGTTTTACTTCAAGGTTATAAGATAAACACGTAATATTCAGTAATACCTGTTCAGTTAGTACTGTTCTATTCAGTATAATACACAATATAAATTATAATTTCTTAGCTAACAAATTCATGATTACTGGTAGCTTTGGGAGAAGAGGGGGATGAACAAAGGAGCTGTTTTATTGTCCCTCAGCACTACAATTATATGTTTGTTTTCTACTGAAGTATAGTTGATATACAGCCTTACATTGGTTTCAGTGTATACAACACAGTGGTTCAGCAGTTTCCCATATTATTAAATCCTCACCCCCACCAATGCAGTTACTATCTGTCAGCACAGGAAGATGTTATAGAATCATTGGCTATATTCTTCATTCAATTATATATTATTCCATTAAAATATTAGAATTTTGTCTACTACTGAAACATTACCACCTTACTTGCAAACATGTTCTACTGATGACATTTCTAAATGCACAAATGGAGCCCCAGTGCTTTTCTTGTCAGCACATGCACGAATGAATCCTGTATTATTTGGCATACTTAAAGGAAATTATAGAGAATAAACCACTTCTGGCTATGCTTAATTAACTGTACTAATAATAGGAATGATGAAAGATCCCAAAACATCACCTTTTTACTTTTTTTTAATATTTAGAATTTAGGCAGATGCAAGTTGAACAGAAAATTCAGGTTTATAATTTATTTTTTGTTTGCTCTTATAGGTTTTAGTATCTAAAATGGCTTGTTCCTTAAGTGTGTGAGCAATATAAAGAAATACAGTTTTTTTCAAAAAAGTAATTTGGATTGAGTAACAGTATCTCCAAACTCAGAGACCAAATGATTGTTACAGTAAAAGTTTTAGAAAGTTTCAAGCAGACGGGAAAATGCAATTGAACAAACTGAAGTAGTAATCTTTTATTTTCACTTAATTATATAAAATACGAATAGATTTTATTGATGGGAACCATGTAGATAAGCTAAAGTTTGTATAAGATGAAACTTTTATTATGTGTTCTAAGTATAGACATTATTTAAATAAAATGCTAACTTGCCTTTATTTCTCATTCTACATATCAAATCTGATATCCCATTTTAAAAATAATTTCATGTTTCTTTCTAAAGGCCAAAGGACAGTTTTGAATATAGCCAGATTACCTATGATACTCCAGCTCTCACAACGGATTGGAAAGGCCTTTGAGCAACCCAGTTTTGTCTTTCAGGGAGAAATCTGCGTCAGCCCAGCCCACAGCCTGGGCTTCTCCAACATTTCTGTGCAGAGACCAGTGGCACTTGCCATGTTAGACAACATTGAATGACTATCATAAGCACATAAACCTGCCCTCGGACAGTCAGCGTCCTCTTCCCGTGCAGATTTGTGCTTCTGCTCTGAAAAGCACAGATCCAGTCTGAACCACAAGATAATTTTCTTGGTTATTTATAGATTCTTAACACTGAAAGTGATGGGACTTTACAGGTTATTCAAAATATTTAAGATTTAGTGTCAGAATATTTCCTTTGCTTTCTAAATGAGCATACTGAATATGCTCAGACTCAGGGCTTATTTCAACAGCACACCACTATTTCACAGAACACATATATGCAATTATGTATTTTGAATATATAATTTGTGCTGTATTTCTATAATCAGGAAACTTAACTATTTAAAAGTAATTTATTGCCAAATGACCATGTTTACCTTTAGAAGTCAACGTGTTGTCATTCCATTTTTAAAAGAGATACAGCATTTTTTAAAGAGATATAGCCTGTGTGTATATGTACATACACACACATTCATATATATATTTATTTTCTTCACATGGCTTTAATAACACTGTGTGAATACGGTTCATAAAGCATCAGTTACTTTCTATATGATATTATATTATCAAAACCACAAAATATTGAAAAAGTAACTTTATCCCCCAAAGAAGATAAAAGAAACTCTGAATTGAAGTAAGTTGCTTTAAAGGGATCAGAGTTTAAGGGTTCTGACCAAGAGGGCACCCAGGTGGGGCTGAAAGACCTACCGTCTTGCTGAGGTAGCCTGTGCTGGTGTTCATGCACTGTAGCCCCTCGCTGTTACAGCAGCCTCCACATCTGTAGACGGACACACATGGAGGTTTAAAGAAGGTGTTTGTGGCTGCTCCAAACTCCTTCCCCACATCTATACACACCTCACGTGGCATGCATTGAGTCTTTCTCCACTCATTATCAATACCTGTCGGGTCATAGGGAAGGCTATGAGTTATACAGAAGACACCAAGGGGGAAAAGCCCACAGTAGTTGGAAGTCACTCACATTTGATTTCAGATTTTCAGATTTAAGATAATACATAACTTTAAAGAAAGATATGACGGGACTCTAAATTGCCTTGTGAACTGGAATACAATATAATATGTAACAGTGGCTAAGGATATTTTCTTTGAATTTCTATAGCCATGTAACAAACAAAATCAGGGCTATACTTTCTTGAAATTACACCAGTATTCTATAGCACTTATGTTTGATTTTCTAAAGAAAATGAAAATTCAGTCATGCTCATTTGCTGTATGGTATGTAGTATTTTTGTGGTCTCAAAGCAAATATAAACAAAATTTAATTTTTCTTTTTAAACTGAGATGTAAATGAGAAGATGGCTATGATTTTGGACTCAATTCAAACATCATTTTCAAGCAGGCTGTCTGGCAACTTTGGGTAATGTCATGGTGGTAGCTACTTGAAAGGCAAGGGCATTTTCCAGCTGCTGATGTGTATCCTGAACTAAGTGTTTTTCAGGGAAGTCAAATTTTCCTGTTCCTTTTACTCTCACTCTTGCGATTCTGTTTCCAGTGAACTTTTTACCTATACCACTGTTGACTCTTCAAATACTACATTACAAATGATGAACTTCTTAAATATTCTAGTTTCTTTTCCTCATATCGCCCTAACATAAAATTTTTAGAAAAAAAGGAGATAAACTATTGGTTATTCAATATGAAGCCATTTTGTTTGTATTTACTCTCAAAATAATTTGCAATCTTTATTTAAACTTTATAGCAGTTAATATCTAACAACTGAAGGGACTTGATTTTTAAAAGCAATCCACCAATTTTATACTATTCCATTGTATGCAACAGCATAATTTTTTGTGACATTCTTTGCTAGATATCTCAGTAGTTTTATGAAAGTTCAGCTTACAAGCTGTTTACCTATGAAGGCAACAAGTAGTATTTGAAAAGATGATTTTGGGTGACAGAAATCAAGCATTTCTAAATCCAAATCAAGAAAAACAATATTGTACAATTATTTTGTAAGATCCAGAATACTGAAGTGATTAAACTGATATAGTGTATAAAATACATCTGTATGTTTTTGAAATTCTACAAAGGGATATCACCTTGATTAAAAAATTGAAGGTGTGTTGATGTACATGCACCTTTCTGTCTTTAAATTTCAAGAAGTTAGAAGTTAGTCACTTAGAGTGAAATTATAAAACGCTTATTTTGAAAGTCTTTTGTTTTCCATTTTCTTTACTTAGGGCCCTGCCTTAAAGGTGTTCAGTGTACAAATGCTGATATTCAAGGAGCAAGCTGGCAAATTTCAGTGGCCTGACATATAATTATATATTTTCTTTGCCATACTTACTTTTCAGGATCTCTGCATTGTAATGTGCTGCAGCGAATTTTACAGTCTCTTCTGTTCTTGTATTGATGTTGGGCTGTTCTTCATTATGCTGCCAGTCCCCTTTCCTTAACTGACACTTGTACATTTTCCAGTATTCTGGGTAGAGTACTGTCATGAGTTCATCTACACTGGACACTGACCGCAACTGCTCCTCCAGATCTTTGTCTGCATAAGCCTGTCAAAGAAACATGCGAGATTAGTTACTTATCAGATTAACAAATTTAGAAACATGCACTAAAAAACCCTTAGGTTTAGTGGTATATTTTCTAGATCCCTATTAAAAATATTAATTATCCCTGAATTACTTAACTTTTCTTGGTAAAATTATATTCATATCTTAATTTAAATCAATACCACAATTAAAATAGAATTAAATATTACAGTTAAAATGTAAAATATATATTTGGCTTTTAAATTTTGTGATATATACTTTTTAAGATAATTTCTGACATCTTGTTTTAGCTATACTTGTTTTACATAACTAGTGAATTTACATTTTTGAAAATTTATACGAGCTTGTATTATCCTTCAGTATAGAAAAAAATTGAATTGAAATCCACTCTAGTGCTTTGCTTCATTTTTAGTTGTTAGCGTCAACAAAATATAATTAAGCAGGATGGTTGTGATCAGCAATCTCAGCTGACAGAAGATATTTTAGGGTAAAAAATCACATCAAGAATGGGATTTTAACAAGAGAATCACAGTGTTTATATTTTGGCAGAACCTGTCAGTATTTCCAAAAAATTGGATCAACATTTATTCTGCTAATGAAAAAGACATAAAATAGTTCAGAGAAGATCTATTCATTCTTACAAATAATTGTCTATATTACTGTGTCCAATTAAGTAGAATAATCCCAGTATTTTCAAGGTGTTTACCATATCTAAGAAAAAACACAATTGTTTTATCCATTATACTTTGAAATTATGGGAAATGGGACATTGTTTAACTTTATCAGCAAAGTGAAATACAACATCAAATGTTCATTTTATATTGTCATGATTATCCCAGCTTTTAGGTCTAAATGTATAAGTAAATACTTTGAACATTGTTCTCAAAGTTTAGTATGCACAAGAATTACAAATGCAGTTAACTACCCCCCACCTTCACCACCACACCCCCAAGCCAGGTTTCTTGGATGGAGATCAGGAGTCTACATTCTAAAAGGGTATTTATCCCTTTCTAATTTTTGAAGTAAAAAAATTAATGTATTGGCTTTGATAATTAAAATATTATTTCATTGACAGTCTTCTCACCTATATTTTGAATAATGCAAATTATTCTGATGTAGGTGGTTTTTGTATATATTTTTAGAAACATAATCTAACATTGTTTTCTTATATTATTACAGCACCTCCTAGGCAGTAGATTATGACATGTGCTCCTTCCTACTAGATGATAAAATTGGCTATGAATTTTAGAGTCTCTCCTTTCTTCATTTATTGTATGAATTGGGTATATCATGTAATCTCTTTAGGACTATGTTATAAAGTACTGATATTAATCCATTACTTCCTGGAATATATAGGATGACAATATGCCATTTAGCTATACAAATATAATTCTATTGAACTGATGCAGGGTAGGGGTGGAGAGGAACTTAGCTTGAATGAAAGCGACAAAATATCCTCACACTGTTACCCAGTTAATTTTTCAACACAACATGCACTTTACCCCGCCCAGTTAAATGTTTAGGAAATATTTGTCTCAGAAAAATCTCACAGATGACACAAAATTTACGAATCAAAAATGTTTTACAATCTAAAAGGACTGCAACTGGAGAGGAAGATTACGGAAGGGTGCAGGTGTATTGTGGTCGCTGCCGCTGGCAGGGTAATGTCACGCGTTTTGTTTGCCTACGCTTGCTTGAATAGCCCATGAACACAATCAGCAATGTGGGACCATATGACCACTGGGTCCCTGGGATTCTTTTCACCATAACACAGCCAGAATTACAGTCAAGTTGCACTAAGCTGATCACACAAATCTTACAAAACAGGTGTGAGTGTTCACTCTACCAAGAGGAGCTGCAACTCAACAAGACAGTGTTACATGACACAGTGAAAGATACACAAACTGTTAAGAGAAAGGGTAGTGGTGAAGAGGTACTTCAATTAAGTATTCAAAGTCTGAAGGCAAAACTTCAGTGCTTCAAAATTTAGAAATGGAAAATAAGTAGAACATAAGTATATCTATAACAGAAAACATTGTAGCCAACAGATCAACAGAAGAAAAATATAAGCATTCGGTTCATAATAGAATGTAATTTGAAAAAAATGAAAAAAACATACTCGTAGAAAATGAAAGTTAGGCTGAAAAAAAAAGGGCCTTCTAAATGTGAATATAAAAATAAAATGTAAACTATTGTTATGGAAGAAAATATTATAAACAAAATAAAAGACATTAAAGTAAGAAAACTATTTGCAATATACATGACCGATGGAAAGGACTAGCATTAAAGTACTGCATGAACATGTCAGGGAGAAAACAAACAGGTACTTCAGAAGAAAAATGGTCAAAGAACTTGAGCTGAATGTTCACGAAGAATAAATACAATTAATATATATTCTGGGATGGCAAAAGTGGAGGAAACTGTAATTATTTTCAGTCCCAGTGTGAGTGTAAATTTGTACAGCTATTCAAGGCAAATGTGCTATTTCAAGTTGGAGGGGCTTAACAAGCTCCATTTTAGACAGCAAATTCACTCTGGAATTAAATTTGCTATTCAACAGAAGTGGTAATATAATTATGTCACATACATGTGCAGATTCATTGTGAAGTTGTCTATAATGGTGTATATAAAAAACCTATCAAGACAATAATAAAGAATTGATTAGATAATATACAACAAAGAGAAATTAGCACAGAAAGTAATGTAATGACACTGATAAAGATGTGAGAAAGGGTTTGTAATATGTTCTATGCACAATTTATACACAGTATACACATACAATATTCATATATATTGAATAGCACAACCTTTTCACAAAATAAAATTTATAGATTGCATATGTGTGCATAACTTATAAAGAGTAAAATATATGCAACAAAAAGGTTATCTTCTCCAAATTGCAGGGTTAAAGTAGTTACTATGTTCTGTTTTTTTATTAGAAGAATTACTTTCTTCTAATAAAGAAATTAGTTCTGTATCTTAAAATACAAAAATACATTTCTGTATTTAAAATTTTCAATAATGAACATAAAAAATTTTTATTATTAGAATAAAACTTTAAGAGGAACCATCTCTCTGCATAGTGGCCAGCCGTGGTATGTACCCTCAGTCAACCTTTATTTACTTTACAGTTCATATTTCCGCATGGAGCACACCTTTGATATGCTATTTAATTTATAACAACCAGTGGCAAAAGCAGAAGCTTTAATGGCCAAAATGGTATAAAAATAGCTTGATTCTGAGCAGTCATTTACTTATTCCCGCTAGACTATTATTATATATGTGTGGCAAAAAAGCAGATGGTACTAACAAAAGACCTATATTTCTATCTTGGCTACAGATCTTATTTGAGTAACTTAGATTTCATTTCTTTGAACTTCATTTTACTTTTTAAGATGGGAATAGGCATACCTTCCTTAGAATTTTTTTTTTGGCATAGTTAATGTACAATTACTTGAACAACATTATGGTTACTAGACTCCCCCTGTTATTAAGTCCCCCCCCACATATGCCATTACAGTCACTGTCCATCAGTGTAATAAGATGCTATAGAATCATTACTTGTCTTCTCTGTATATACTGCCTTTCCC